ATATGTTATTGATGTGTGACTTAGCGGTCTGTTATTAACGTTCAGTTTAATTTTTCAATTTAGCTTACAGAATTACACGACCATAGAAAGTCTCAAAATTCCAATTCTCGGTTTTTTTTAATGTTTGTTGACACAGTGTGAACTGAAGTATAGTTGTAAGACATGACAAAGGTAGATCTGTGTATTAATTAAAGATCAGTGGATGTGTAGCTTTTCGAAAACTACACTTTAAAATTTGGGCTTTTACAACTCTTCTATCAATTGTTCTTTTATCAGTTGCAGATCTCTTACACACGTAGCCATGTCTTAATGGAATTTAGATTTATGAAAAACACATCACTGTATAAATGAACAGTAACAGCAACCGATTTAAACATTTATGCAAATTATTTTTTTTTTCACATTGACAATTTATTCATGATATTATCCATGTGCGCAAGCGAAGTGCTCTTCTAAACTGCACATTCTTGATATTGCTGTCGTTACTGTTGTTGCTGCCGTTATTACTGTTGTTACTGTCATTATTTTTGTTGTTGCCGTTGTTGTTGTTGTTATTGTTGCTGCTGCTTGCCCTTTGTTCCGATTATGTTGATTGGGGAGTATGAACATACCAAGAAAGAACACTCATGCTTTTGCTACAAAGCGGGATGTTTTAGGAAAAGCCTTAAAAAATTGAAATAAAAAGCCGAGAACTAAAAGATCGTATCACTCAAAACTTTTGGGCTTTTTCGACGAACAGATTTTTTCATCATTTATTCAGCAATGAATGGTTACAGCGGTCCATTATACTGGTATGTCTGCAGTGAGAATCCAGCTGCCTGCTGCGGATGCCCACCAGAATTAAGAGGATGTGCAGTAGCAGTGGAGCAGTATCCTTGAGGGTCAGGCTTGAATTTGTCGTCTTTTGATATCAGATTGGTTGCATTTGTCGTGCTAGTTGCATAGAATGACGATTGTGCTGTGGCAAAACGTGATAACGCAGGTGTACTGGATGTTGCTGGAGCCACCAGCTGGGGAAAAGAATGTTGCAAATGCCCCTGAAAGGTGTATTTAACTTTTGTGATGAAATCATTTGGAAAAAATTAAAATATTTTCTATAATAAAGCCAAAAAAAAGAACCAAAACGATTCATTCACATCCCATCTTCCTGGATTTCGTTGTTCTGGTCTTGAATCAGTTCGGCACTCACACTGATACACATACACACGTAAGCAAACATGTCGCAACGCATACGCACAAACTTAGATTTGGCAACAGTGATTATTTGTCTTTGCATTATGTGCAAATGCATATTGTAACGAACCTGGTGTACGTAGGTGTGTATATCTATGTGTGTGTATGTATGTGTATGTTTGTGTGTGTGTATGTGTGTGTGTGTGTGTGTGTGTGCGCGCGCACGCGCGCGCGTGTCATTCCGAGCATTTCAACTCGGCAACTAGGCAAGCTCCGGCGCTGAAATTTTGTCAGCGGGATTCTCGCCCAGTTGCCACCCCTGGACCGCGGTATCAACCTGCATGCAAGACCGGGCTCTGCGTACGAACGCGTAGAAATTTTGGCGACAAAACCGCTAACTTTGGAACTAGAAAAGCTAGAAATCTGAGATTTTGAGGAGGTATTCCCCTCCAAATAGAATTCAAAGATTTCATATTCAGCCCCAAGGTATGCGGGTTTTCACTTGCGGTTCCGCAAAAATTTTTGGCGGGAAAATTGCTAACTCAGAGACCAGAAAGGCTAGAAAACTGAAATTTTAAGGGGATTTTCGTTGACCAAGTACCATATAGTTGCACAATTAAATTCTTAAACTTTGAAGATCAGTATGTCATAAATTCTAGCTGTTGGGGCTTCAAGCGATCTTACAACGACACGAAATACGGCAAAAATGCATGGCCGCAGAGGCCGGCCAGGTGCGTGTCACCAGTGGTTTTCCACTTGCATAAATGCAAAAACTAACCCAGGTTGGAACGCGCTAGGTTTGTCGGTGCGACCATGCGTTTTTGCACTAAACTCACAGGCCGCTAATAGTAGGAATGATCCATGCGCTGTAGCCTAACACATATTGGCCGTGCTTTGTCCCCTTCCATAATGCAGGAGGAAGGGCGTCGGTTAAGGATGAAAGTGGTGCATTATACAGCCGTACGGACCTCTGAGTACATGATTACCAGTTTTTATGCGTTTTTGCATATATGCAAGTGCGAAAACGCATATTGTGACGACCCATGGTGTAAGTGCGTGTGTATGTTTGTGTATGTGTGTGTGTGTCTGCGTATGTGTGTGTGTTTGTCTGGGTATTTCAGCTCGGCGCCAAAATTTTGCCTACGAGTTCCTTGAACAGGTGCCACCCCAGGACTGCGGCACCAATTCCCACGCAAGTCTGGGCCCTGCGTAGAGAGGGTGGAAATTTGGCGGGAAAATTGCTAACTCGGGAACCAGAAAAGCTAGAAAGCTGAAACTTTGCAGCTATGTTCCCCGTTCACATAGAACTCAAAAATTTCAAATCCAGCCTCTAGGCATGCGTGATTCTCACGCATGGCCCCATGAAGGTTCCTGGCGGGAAAATCGCTAAATTGAGATCCAGGAAAGCAGGGAAGCTGAAATTTTGAGGGGATATTTTCAGCACACTTACAAATTGAAGTTGCTAAATTCAGCCTCTCTCACTACGTGGCACTCACGTACGACCCTGTGAAAGTTTTTGGCGGAAGTATGGCTAACTCGGGGACTAGGAAGGCTGGGAGGCTGAATTCTTAAGGGAATGTTCCCAGCCCACGCGCAACTCGTGGGTTCCACACTCAGCCCCCAGTTATGTTCCCAGGTCACGTACGGCCCCGTGAAAGTTTTGGTGGGAAAACTGCTAACTCGAGAACCAGAAAAGCTGGAAAACCGAAATTTTAAGAGAATACTCCCCGTTCAAATACAACTTAAAGGTTTCATATTCAACTTCTAGGTGCGCATGATTCTCGGGTGCAGGCACTTAAATTTTTTGGAGGGAAATTGCTCGTTGAACAGCTGGATCATTTTCAAACAAAAACGGTTGCTAAACGAAACTTGTTTATTTTTATTTTTGCGATTTTACGATGATTTGTGGTATTGAGCACACAGGGTAAGCGTGAAGCAACAACCATTCATACACTTAACCTAACTGTTTCAAATCTGGTGCAAAAATGCCTGATCACGCCGGCCCGGCAAGCCTGGTGCGTTTCAGCCTGGGTTTGTATATTTGGATGAGGGCGGTCGTTGGCCGCAAAACGCACACATTT